CATTTCGATGCTCTCGCTCCTAGAGTGAACAGGATGGCGAACGCGTTGTGTCGCCTCCTGCCCAATCTCGGCGGTCCAGGTGCTACAGTTAGGCACCTTTACACGAACACCGTCCGGTCAGTGTCTCTTTATAGGGCACCGATTTGAGCAAGTGACCTGATGGCCAACAAATGCGCCAGTGCCTTGGTACGCAAGGCCGACAGGCGTATGGCCATCAGAATCGCCCGTTGTTATCGGACGGTGTCGTACGTGGCGTCCACGACCCTGGCGGGGGTGCTCCCGTTCGACCTAGTCGCTGCTTCGCGCGCCGAATCCTCTATCGGTGCGCGGTTGAGGTCGGACGGAGTGGCATTTCCCCGGAAAACATCCCCAGGAAAGTGGAAAAGGAGAAAGCGAGGGCCCGGAGGTGGGCGCTCAGGGAGTGGAAACACCGACTGGGCGAACACAATACTCCGGGTCTTCCAGGACTGAGGACCGTCGAGGCCATTCAGTCCTGCCTACTGGAGTGGGTAGGCAGAAGGGGAGGAGGAATTTTGTTCTACATGGCGCAGGTTTTCACTGGGCATGGCTGCTTTGGTGAATACCTGTGCCGGATTGGAAAGGAGCGCACTACGCAATGTCACCATTGCGCGGCCGACCGGGACTCGGCGCAGCACACGCTCGAAGAGTGCTCGGCGTGGGCCGTGGAGCGTCGGGTCGAGATGGTAGGCGAAAACCTCTCCCTCCCTTTCCTTGTTAGGAGAATGTTGGAGGGGGAGGGTGTGTGGGAGGCGGTTTCCTCCTTCTGCGAAACGGTTATGTCTTGGAAGGAGGAGGCCAAGAGAGAGAGGAGAGGGAAAGAAGGGTCGACCTCTTCCCAGAAAAAGAGAAGGGGCCGGTCGATTAAGGCCATGCCCTCCGCCACAGTATATACAGTAGCGCAACTCTGTGTCGGCACCTTTGATGTTTATAAAGCCTAAAATGAGTGCGCATGCGCGAAGTCAGCGAGTAAATCCAGTACCGCCATTTGAACTTCCTTTTCTTTTCTCCTTGCCTTCGTTTTTTCTTTCCCACTTATTTCTAAATC